AAGGGTTGGAAAGACGATGTAGGAATGATATTTCCCCTGGTTAGGGTGTCCACAACAAGGGGTTGCAATCTCAGGAAAGATGGTATGTCATTTAGCACTAACATGGGCAGTTTCTTTATTTGGAGAGTGGTGAACCTGTGGAATTCTCTACCTTAGAAGGCTGTGGAGTCAAAGTTGCTCAATATGTTGAAGAAATAAATCGATTTCTAGAAGCTAAAGATGCCAAGATATATTGTTGTAGAATGTTGAGAGAGAGGATCGTCCACAATCATGTTGAATGGTGATTTACAAAATGCATTTCAACTTTCACTTTGGCTGATCTTAAAAATTTGCAGGCTGGGCATTTAATTTGCTATTTTTTCATTGAATTTAAAAAGAAAAGCCAAACTCGATTTGACATTGCAGTTTGACTCCAATATTTTTCAGCATTTTAGTTTGCTGTTGAAATTGTTGTTCGCAGAGTATGTGTATCACTGACTTGTTTGACATTTATTGCCCTGCCTTGGTTACAAATGAATTTTTAATATGCTTTTAGTTGGTGGAAAGACTGTAAATTACAAAATACTGGTCAACTATGCTTTGACTGATCTTAAAACTGTAGGCTGTGTATTTTAATTTGCTACTTTCAATGATTGTGGTGACAGCATTAGCAACCTATAATTCTGTGGTTAGCTGTTTTAAACTTGAAGTATGCCTCTTTTCCATTTATTGGAGAAGCAAGAATGACAGCCAAAGTATTGAGGAATGTAAGCTACAAAGTCACTACCAGTTTTTCATCCACTATGAATGGGCAGAGAAACTATGCCTGTGGACCAAAGGCGCCCCAAATCACATCTCTGCCAAGTCTTCAATATTAAATGGTTGTTTTAATCAGTAAATTGATTTTTAAATGTCTATCTGCTCTGCAGTTGCGAGCGTAACCATCACTCCATATTTTCTTACAAATAGTTCTAAGCTAAAGGAAATAACTGATTTAACTAGCAAATTTAGAAGCATAGAAAATAGGCTGAATGGCCTACTTCTCCTATCAAGCCTGTTCTGCCAGTCAACATAATCAGGGTTAATTCGATATCTCAATGACATATTCCTGCTCTATATCCGTACCAGTTGACACCTTTAGCTTCTATATATCTATTTCTTTCTTAAATATACATGTTGCTTCCTCCAGTCACTGCCATCCATATGGTGAAGGTACTACTATAATGCTGTTTAAAAAGTTCTAGGACGTAGTTATGTACAATGAATGGTGTATGACAGGAGTGTGATATATAGGACCATGCAACTGCTACCCAGGATTTTTTGGTTGAAGGTTTTGAGGCGTTTGTTCAAAGAAGACTTGATTCCTTGCTGCATTGTATCTGTAACAATCATGTACGAGTGGTGAAAGGAGTGAATGTTCATAGATTGCTGATCTAGTCGACTGCTTTGTTCTGGATGGTGCTGAGTTACTTGTGTTGCAGATCGCCGTATGCTGGCAAATGGTGAATATTTCAACACATGCCTGGTTTCTAGGAAAGGTGAACTTCCAAGATGTTAATCGTTGGTGATGTACCTATGGTAATACCACTTTATCATCAAAGGGAGGTGGCTCAATTTTTGTTGTATTGGAAGTGGCTGTTTTCTGGCACTTGTGTAGTTTGAATGTACTTTGCCACTACATGCATTCCTGAACCTGCTGCATGCAACCACAGACTGTTTCGTTATTTGAGGCAGTCAGAATTTGCCCGCACAATGCAACCATCAGCAAATGGCTCATCTCTAACTTTGAGGAAAAGATTTGATGAGCCAGCTAAAAATGTAACCCTGAAGAAATACTGCAGCAATTTCCAAATATAGGTAATCAAAACCATAGTCACAGTGCATCATTGTTAGAAGTAGATACATCAAGTGACCTGGGCCTATTTTAAATTACTTGTCTGGAATTGATATGTACAGAATATATTAGTGAAACAAGTTAAGATGTGTAGTTCCATCGATTCCATCCCTCTTTCAACTTTGGAAAAATATGAACATAATTGACACTTTTGATTATTTTTTTTTTTAATTTTTCAACATGTAACAGTAATGTCATAATTCCTATGCATACAAAATATTGCAGAATCAAGGTATTTTTTTTGCAAGTGATGTGTGGGTGTAGTACCTAGATCTCCAAATCCACTTGTACTATATAAAATTTGTTTGGACTCAGTTTTGAAATCAATTTTCACAAATTGATATTCTCTTCTGTTGTTTGACTCTTGTTAGAAGAATTGTTTGTATAAAAAGCTAACTTGTTTATTAATTAGATTCTATCAGTTTTACTAAACTTCACGTAGATGTTGTAAGGAATGAAAAAATCCCAGTGATCAACAGTCTTGTGATTTGGATTGATCCATGCAATGAATGTTCATCCTTGGACAGCTGAGCAAGCTGCAGGCAGACAAACAACTGTTGGAATACTTGTTCGTGCTCCAAATCAAGTTTTGCTTGTTTTTTTTTCTTTTTTTGTCATCCGTCTGTGTGGCTTTCTCATCTTTCTCCCTCATTCTCTCTCTTTTCCTCCCACTCTGTCCCTTTCTTTATTTCTGTGTACTTCATTTCACCTGGATCCCTGCTTACTGATACCGCCTTCCTCACCCTCCTGGCATCTGCCCATTTGTGTCCACTCTGCCTTGCATTGCAATATGCTATCAGGAAATGTGTTGTTTTCCATATGCTGTGATCACTGCTGTAACATTAGTAAAAGTGGAAAAAACTGTAAAAAAACTGTTTCATACATGGTCATCCCCTCACTTTGAGCCCATACACGGTATTTTTAGTAAATCAGTGTCAGTTAATTGTACCTGCCAAGCAGGTTATTCATCTTAATCCTTAAAATATGTCTGTTTACTGATATTGTTGTTTTTCCACCTTCTCTTTCTGATCTCTGTAGTTCCATCTGAAACAGGTAATTCTGATGTTTACTTTGTTTTTCTACCATATGTGTATATTAACACTGTCCCATTTATTTCAAACTGACTCTTAAGCTTAACACCTGCTTATGAACTAAGTTAAACTGGCAGTACATCTTTGAAAAAATTGCATGTTAAAATTCAAGTGGCGCTCAAAGCTATTAAAAATATTCAATAACTGCTTTAAGAACAATCATTTGGAGTTTTAGTCTGAACTGATTTTAATGTATTTGGGGAATGTACTGTGGAACCAACTTCACTTTAATATCAAATTAAAACTGAAGTGGTCTTCTTTGAATACGTGTCGGCATTTGTCCTAAATTACCTTTAGTCAGGAGTCAAGAATATGGCAGCTTAACTTATATACAGTTGTGTAAAATTGTGCAATTGCTTGTATAAATATTTTAATTTCCAATAACAGATAAAGGTACAAGTAGGAAACAACTTCCATTTTATAGAGAAACTCCTTGTAATGATTTATTCTGAATTCCTGATTATTGAGCAACAAGAACTACTTAATTTGGTAAGCTGAAAAGGACTTTATTTTTAGGTTATTGATTTCCCTCCATAAAACAGCTCATTTAAAAAAAACTTGCAACAGCTTCATACTGGTAGCAGCATTTAGAAATCACGTTATAACATTTGCAGAATTCTATTGGCATTTAAGTTTCTAAATGTGAATTTAAGCATTATCAGCATTTAGCAGGGAAACATAAAAGTAACACAGCAGCATTTCTGCATCTTGAAAAATCTTTAAGTCTTGCCTTTTCTTATTTAAACTAATCTTTAAAAAGAAAAAAATATACATTGGAAATACTGAAATATGTTTCAGCATTTTTGGAAAACACCCATTATTTTGATTGTAATGTGATGCCGGTAAGTAATTGGTTAATGTGGTTTGCCTAAATAGATATATGAACATAAATGACAATCCCTGAAGACCACTCTTGATTCAGCAAATAGTTTACAGAATAAAATAGTCAAATGTGACACTTCAGAAGACAAATTATGGCACTTGTGTGCACTTTGCCAGCAATGTTTACGGCAATCTAATATTACTGAAGTGAGACAAAAGATTTGTAGCTTTTTTAGCATGTTCAGTGATTGTACAAATCACATGGCTTTTGCTGTAATATTTCTAAAGGCTTTGCTGTTTGAAGGAAGGAACATGATATTTTTATTATTGCAAGCACCACTGTTGGGCGATCTGTAGTAGATGAAGTCCATAAAGTGATTGGTCTTATTTAAGTTACATTGTCACTAATTTTCAGAGCCATGACATACTATAAATCAAAAATCCTATTCTGATATTTTATAAATGGTTGTTAGAACCACGCAAATTCAGTCATGTAATCCCTAGTTACTTTCCACAGTGCCTTGCTATGCATTCCATCATCATGGAACCTTTAGTTTACTGTTGCTCTCAGTTACAACTTTAGCTCTACTTTCATTTTGTATGGTATTCGTTGCTTGTTATCATAGAATTACTTGAGGAATTGGAGAGTTTCCTGCAATATATGCAGTTATTACTTTAATGGAAAGGAAAACATGTGTTAATTTGATTATAATGTGACATTGGTGAGTGATAGTCTAATGTGGTTAGCCTAACCGTAAATAATCCCTGAAGACCACCTTTGATGTTTCAGAAAATAGTTTACAGTATCAAACGATTTCTACTATGCTAAATTAAACATTGATAACATTCATGAGACACTTTCAACTTTTGGATAATGAGGTTGGTTGCGTTCAATAAAAGAAAACTGGCAAATACAAGTGAGAGATCTTACAGAATTCAAATTGTTTTTAATGCAGCACTGAGGCTTGACTCCATTTGACCCATACTGCACTCTTCCAATTTTACTTTGTGCTCATCAGGATGATTATAGGTGATTGTTATTGTGCCAACAGGAAACAACTGATAGTTCCAAATTTATCAACCCAGGTTCATGATTGTGATTTTCTTAAAAAGCTGCAGTTTCTTCTCAACTTCACTAAAGCTCAAATAAGTACCGAGGCAATTTCCTTATCTTCCACGATGAATTTAACCATTACATTTGATTTGTTGTTTTATACTCTATCGTCAATGCCAGGTAGCAAGAAAGCTTTGTTAATTCCCTGCCACATCCTTATTTTGTTTGAATTTGATTTCCCCTCAGGCAAAAGAATTTCAGCATTTCACTTTTTAGTTTTTTAAACTTTTTAATGTTTCTGTATTGGGTGTTAGCACACACTGTCTCCCAGACGTATGCCAAATAATGATCTGACAGTTTAGAAACCAGTGCATAGGTCGCTATTTGTGTCATTATTGGCATAATAACTTCAAGTTCTGTGTGCAGCTTTGGTCTAGATTGTGGAGATGTCTAATGGAGGGAGGTTATAATACATGTGGAATTTCAAGAGATGTGGGTGCTGAGAGGTAAGTGGCACCTTTTGGGGGATTTTTTTGTTAGATGCTTTGAAAAGTAAGAGCCAAAGAGAGAGAAGAAACAAACAAAATGAAAGGAAAATCAATTTTGAGGAACGAAAAAAGTGACACTACTGAGCGAATAACAGCCATTCGGTGCTTGGTTGTTGATTAATTGCGTAGTGGTGGTATTGCATACTTGGAAGAAAATAGAGGCAGGTTTGTGACTGTCAATCTTTTTTTTTTAATTTCATCTTCTTTTAAATCAACCTGTTTAGAGATGTTATTTTACACCTCTGGAGCAGGTGAGACTTGAACCTGGGCCTCCTGGTTTGGAGAAGGGGCACTACCATTGTGCCACAGGAAGGCCCCTTACTGTGACTGTCAATTACTGTACCTGTCTATACCTGCCTTGTAGCATATATCAACTGTTAATGGCCTTGCAGCAAATGATATGGTTTTGCATTTGTGTCTCTATTCACCAGAGTCTGTGAAGCAGGTCTCCCATGGCCCTTATCAAATGTTGCAGATATGGCTCTGCTGACAGTTATGACCTCAGCGTATGGGTCTAGAGCAATTTAAAGTACATAAGTATAGTACTTGAGATGCTTGCCAGATAACCATCCAGCAAAGGAACTGGGGCTATTTTTGGGAGAAGCTTAAAAAAAATTGTTGGAAGTGCTCAAAATTGAGAGGATTTTTTAATGAAATAAAGAAAAACATCTTTTGCAGGCCAGTAAATATAAACAATGTTTAAATATTCAAATACTGAAGGGAGATGTCGAGGGAATTTATTTTAAGCATAACACAAATGTGTAGCAGTTTAACTGAAACTATGAATGAATTAGAATCCATGACACCTTTTGATCAGTAGGTTGATAAATATTTGATAATTTTCAGGAGCAGGGAAAGACAAGGCAATTGGAATGAATGAATAGTTTTTTCAGAGATCTGGCACATTTCTTATAAAAGCTAGATGCCTCTTTCATATTAGAATATTTTATGAAGTTATAGCATCTTTTCTGTGGAACAAGTGATGAATCAAATGAAAATATATTCTAATGTTATGGGTTAGTTTCAGCCATTTTTCATCAATAATTATAATCCTCAGTCCCTTTTTTTTGGGCTGGAAATTAATCAGTGCTTTGGATCTATCTTTCCTTCAATTGATTCCATCAGTTCCAACTAACATTCATCATAAACTTCCCGTTTCTCATTTAAGATGAGAATCTTGTATTCCCTTTTCAGATAACTTTGTAATGCTCAACTTGTGTGCTGAAAGTTAAACACTTGTACTTGCTTTGAAAGATTGTGAAAGGTAATTAAGTTTCTTTTTGCTAAGTTTCTCCTGTGAGTTCATGAAGTCACTGACCCTTGAGTTTGTGTTCTGTTACCACAGATGTAAACTGGCATTTTGATTACCTGCTTCTTCGTAGGAAATAGCAGTTTATTTGATGAACATACTGATTCCCCTGACTCCATGCATGAATGCAGTTTACAGTATGTGTTGAGCCTTTGTCTATGAATGTGATTCTTGGATCAACTTTCATTTCCTGGTCTTTGTGCTGAGGCCAGGAGAGATGTGGTTGATTGTAATAGTCTTAATTGCAGCTCTTACTGAGATCAGCTAGTGACAAAACCTGCATGAACCTTGAACTATGTGATGTTAAGTAAATTGTTGATATCAGGACAATGGCTGCATTTTCCATCTCAGCTGACTTTTTGCAAAGTACAAAATGGAAGCTTGATGATATTTCACTTTTAGGGAGATAGGGAAATGGCATACGTTGCTCTTAGTGTTCTGTAATGTGTTCTAGGTAAGGTCTATCAGCAGAATAGGTCCCATTGTTCTCATCCTGGAACATAGTGATACTCCTGAAAATCTACAGAAATAAAATGGGGTGAAATTTATGCTGTACAAAAAAAAATATGAACTTCTGAGCTGAAAAGATCAAATTGCAAGAGAGAAAGCTGATTTTGCTTGCCTAATGCATGTTTTCCTCAGTCACGTGTTAACTCCTTGGTTTAGTCATTGTGTATATGCAGGAACAAGACATTTAGATAACTGATCTGATCTGAGTCTTTATCATGCATGTGATATTTTAGTGTTTTCCAGGATTGCACTTAAACATCTTTTGTTGAAACCATTTATCTGTTGTATTTCAAGATTTTATGCTGTCATTGTGGACAGGTGGGCAGCTGGTCTATTTTTTCCACTCTGGGTAACAAATAGGAAGCACATGATTGTAACTATCATCTGCTTGTCTCAACATTTTTCTACTGGGGCTGCCTGCTTTCTGCCTAGAATTTTTTGCCTTGCACGGCCCCATTTGGAAGCTAAAAGAGACTATATTCAAATCTGTATCTTCCATTTGCTAGTGTATGCTAATACCTAAAAGCAGCCTTTTCACATTATACTAAATTTGAGTACATGAAAATTATAAATGTGAATTTCTTATTGGTGCTGAATTTGAAATGCAAGCATTGATTATCACCTTAAAAGTGTCTTTTTAGATTGAATGTAAAGTTGTTTACCCATTAGATATTTCTGTGGTCTCAAGCTAATATTTTAGAGCAATGTTTAAGATGTTTCCAGAAAATGAAGTAATTTAGTTGTGAAATTGTTAAAATTTTTTTGCTGCAGATTAATACAAAACTCTTTTCTTAAAAAAAAAACTATTTTCAGATGCTTTCACCGATGCTGCCATAGGCTCTAGACTAAATGGTGAGCACAAGGACAAAGATCTAGAACCATGGGATGGTGGTGATGGCACCAATGAAGATTTGGAAGCTCTGGAATCAGATGTGGTAAGCACTTTCAATTCTGAATTTTCAGAGCATGAAAACAAAATCCAAAAATATATTAAATTGTTCCTTACTCAGCGTTGCATTATTGTTACATTTTTAGGAAGGAAATAATATTATATTAAGACAGTGGCCAAGCTTTCTCTATAGTTGGCTCACTGTTTTCAGCCTATTAGCTTTGCTTAGTCCATTTATGATTGTGAGTCATTGCTCAGAAGATATTTGAATGCTTTCCACAAAGAAATCTAAGGAGTTAGATTTAGTTTTGAAGTTAACTGGGTGAATTCTTCAGTTACACCACATCTTGTGTGGATGAAAAAATATTAAATATTCTGCTGCTTGTCGCCGTTTGAGAATGAAAGCTACAATTCTTTTGAAGCTTTGTTTCAGGCTACTTGTAATTTGCACTTTTTTTGTGAACGTGTGATGCTTTGCTGTAGTTTTTACTTCATTTTTGATCAGATGTGGTTGTGAAGCAAACTAGAAAAATCAAAGTGAAGTTCATACAAAGCACTGCTTCAAATACACTGTCTACCTTTAGTAATATTGCATTACAGTACTGTTTTCATTTCAGATTACTGACTTGGATTTTGCTAGGGATCAAGGATTTAAAGATAACTTGCTGCATGAGCTTATTGATCATTTCTTCATATATGAAGTAATATTTCTGTTGGGTATCATGAAAGATAAATCTCCATTTGAGATAATTATTTGGATGGCCTTATACTTTTAAAGTAATACTACTAGAAAATCGATGATTATGACAGTGAAAGGATTTGATATCTTTTGTGCTGAAGTAAAAGTTGGTGGAATGGTTTCCTTCCTCCTAGTAAAAATCTTTTCTTTCTTGCCTCAGTCTAATGGTTGGGATCCCAATGATATGTTCAGATTTAATGAGGAAACTTATGGCGTGAGATCAACCTATGACAGCAGTTTATCCTCATATACGTAAGTGCACAGATTTCAATAAATGCCTTGGGTAATTATTTTGGTTTTATTATTTATTATGCTATTAAAACCTATATAATTTTTCAATTGTGACATAGCTCTCTTCAGGTTTTGAAAATTGAATGTGAATAACATTGTGGAAAATTAGCTGTAAATCTGCTTTATTCCTTGTCATGTTTAAAAGAATGATAATTAAAAAAGAAACTGAGAAAGTGGGGCACAAATTATAATTTTTCTAAAGTAACGCACAACTTTGGCTTATTCATATATACTATGGAGCCAGATCTGCTACCCAGTATGTCAAGGTATAATTTCCTGATTTTGATAGAATGCTGGTTTCACATTTTTGACACCAGTGTCTTCACTTTACCAGATTTTACACACATGCATTTCTTATAACTTTGTTTCCTTGCCCTGTAAAAGGGAATATCCTTAATTTTATCAGAGATAGTAGGAACTGCCGATGCTGGAGAATCTGAGATAACGAGGTGCAGAGCTGGATGAACACAGCAGGCCAAGCAGCATCAGAGGAGCAGGAAGGCTGACGTTTCGGGC